CCCCCGGCTCAGCTTGTCGGTGAAAACATGTGCGTCTAAGGCCGCGTCTCGTAGCACAGTAGTGGCCCTGGCCAAGAGAGCCAGGCGACACTAGGGGGTGTCGCATGTAGATGTGCGGTAGCCCACCAGTAAAAATGTCGCCTGGTCTAGGAGGCTGGTGCGTTCTGCCTCCAAGGTCTCCAGAGTGCTGGTCACGCATAATAATGTGCTCAAGCAACTCTGCCCTCAGGGCTGAATGGGTCGTCTTCAATTGGCAAAGTCACCCATGGAACACGGCTATCCCCCTTTGCCCGGTTTGCCAAATTCGTGGTACCGGGGCCTGGGGAAGGAGCCTTGGAATCCGGTTGGGGGCGTTTTGGTCTCATCCCACGCTATGGGGTCTGATCCCGAAACCACACCGCCCGGGTAGCGTTTGGTCCAGTGGGAAGTGTTGCCTAATGTTATCCTCACCCGGGGGCCTTAAGCATTACATCCTCTGCGGCTGACCAATGCCGCCCATCAACACCGTTTGCATGCTTTGCACCCCACTCCGCACTCAGGCGGACAGGGAGACGTGCCGACGGGGTTGCTTTGGATCCCGACGCCCGTGATCCCTTAAGTCTTGAAGCAACCTTAGGTGGTCGCTTTAGGATTAAGGGTGGGGGTATATACATCGTATCACTGGGATCGATGATACATGTACTCCACCTCACCCCAAAAGCGTGACTGGGAATGGGGGTTCCCCGGAAGAGACGTGTTTGAATGCAAACATGCTTTTGTGTCTCTTCCTGCTTGCCCACAGAGGGGACACAGTGGAGACAGCTCACTCCGACTGCGTCTGATCTACCCGGCCTGCCAGGGACGCAATTGCCCCGACAGTCCTTCAACCAAAGCCCTCGACTTGGAGGCAAACCCGGCGCCGTGCGAGGAAGGGTCCACAAAGAGACCCACAATGGGCCCCATAGGAGGAAAGTCTCCAGGGGCACAGCCTCGCTGCAGCCAGTAAAATCAGGTAAAACACCGCCTGAAAAAACAGACTGTGAGGATGCCCTCCGATCAGCGGGGGAGACAGAGAAAAATATCGGTACCTCCACCGTCGGGCCTCTTACTCGACGTCCCCGGTACATGAAGTACCGGTAGCCGAGCGTGAGGACTTTCCACTCATGCAAAACACGCAACTCACTTTAACGGATTTGTTTACTGGACGCGCGACCTTGCTGTGATGCGGTCAGTCTCAGCGATTTTGATGGCTCTGACAGAAAATCTCAGGCCTCAGAACTCCAGTGAAAAAACACGCTTTCACGCAAAAACCCTGAAACCCGCACGTAGCTACGATAAAGTATCTCGGATGCGGGTACTATGCTGGTAAATTCTGAATATAACCACTGCACTGCGTGTTTTGAGTCGACCAGAAAGAAAAACGGCAGTGAGCCCTGGTGTTGTCATTACATCTATATATTCATTGCTAAATACATTGAAAATAAAAGACAACATGCATGAGGGAAACGAATTACAGTTGTAAAAGGTGCCGCCATGAAAACCAACTGGTTACGTAGTGGCACCGGATTTTAATTTCTTTGTTGTGAAAAATACTACACACAAAGGAGAAAACGTCAGGAGGGTAAAAATGACAAGGAAAACTTATCCTACCAGCTACAATGTCGGATGCCGTGCAGCGGCAACAACCCAAGCTATAAATCCAGAAAAAAAAAAGCAGGCGATCCAGCAGAGCTCGATAGATTTCATCTCCAATCGAGGCGGAGAGAAATTCAGAGTGATGGACGGCTACCTGTGGCGCTGCCAGGTGGTCTCGGTCACGTGGGTTTGTGACGTAAGGGGTAAAAGAATCTTGAGGTCATGGGGCTTCCCCCGACCTGGATTCTATCTCTCCGTCACCGGCAGAATCGCTGATTAATGCCTACAGTTCAAAATAGTCATTTTGACTGACCGGAGTCTATGGTGGGTAATTGAACGTAGTGAATTGCCATTAGAACTGAGTCAATATGAATGCAGTTTGGGAAATAAGCTGGTGCAATGTTTGTTACAACATATTCAAACAGTTCTGTGGTAGGGTTACTTTTTTAATCACGTAACAATTCTCTATTTATATATTTTGCCACTATCCTTGTACTAGATAACACACCTATTTGTGGATTTAGTACTCTCAAGTGTGAGTAGTTATAGGTGCCCTGGTTATCACAACCGTAAAGTAAATAAATAAATAAATAAAATAAAAGTGTTTATTATTATTATAAACTGGAGCTTATGTCTACAGTGTACTACAAAAATATTGCATATACTAGTAGTATTGTGACCTCTGAAAAATATGAAAATAACCTTTATGTGTGGCCAGAAAGCCGAAAGTGTTGATTATTTTTACTGTGTTTTCTGGGTCACGGTCATGCATGGTGAATTGGGGGCATTTCGCCAATTTACCACTTCGCCCGAACGGTTTCGCCCGATTACCTGTTCGCCAATTCCAATCTGATAAAACTTAATTTTTCCTTTAATATTAGCATTTTTTGGTAACTTGACACAGTAAAACACAGAGCTACAACAATTCAACAAATTGAGTTGAGGAAAAACTTTTGAAATATTTTTCTAGTATTGTGTTTGTTTTCCCCAGTTTCACTTCCAATATTGCATGAACTTTTTGTTTCCTGGATGGGGGGAGCAATGAAAGTAAAGATATAATGCATAATTTACATTTACATTACATTTATTTATTTACCCTGGAATAAAACTAAATGTTACGTTAGGGGTCCGGAAAGAAAACCCCTTAGGAAAAAAAAACTAGGAAAAAACCCCATAGTGAAAAACAATTGTTTTTTATCACCAATGCTTGCACATTGTCAGTATTTTGCTTGCACATTGTCAGTACATGTATTTGCATGTAAAATAAATGGCAACCCCCATATCGGTACTCCACTACTCGTTACATATCAGTATATTAGCCTCCGTACATGGCTGTCGTATTAAAGTGTGATATTAACATCGGAATTGATGGCATAACGACAGCTCTACTGAGGTGCCGACAAAGCCCCGATGAAAACGAGCACCCCCACATTAATTCAGACTTGTACACACAGCTACAGTAAGTATGATCATGGACGTACTAGAGAGTACTCACAGCGAGTGATAATACTCGTACTACATGTACAATGTAATAGTAATTGCACGATCACGGTCAAGTCTCCTGTTTCTTTGCATGCGACTGTGATTACGACTACTTGTGTACAATGCACAAGTGCATTCATGCCGAGTCTTACCTGGTTATATAACCCACGAAATACACAATCACATTCTAGACTGATTAACAACAAACCGGAAAACCGCCATCTTGAAACATCCCACGATGCAATGCGAAACGAGGTCATTGTCGGTTCAGGGCTCATACCACTAATTGAGTTTCCATAGACGACAATGTTAACATATGACGAGATTGCTATATGAAAATGATGAAGAAAGTTGAAAACATGGCTCAAAAATGGGAAATCAACATGCCAGTAATCAACCATATGAAAAAAACTAACATGTTGGCCAGCTCAAACTCTCACAAATCTCAGGTAAACAAGACATACCTACTGTATTTGGATTGCACCTAGAGAAATCACTGGAAAAACACCAAGATTAGAACATCCAAATACACACAGAATAAACCCACAGGTACACAGCCGCTAAGTAGTAAACTAAAGACCACATGTTAGTCTCACCTTTGACCCAGGTGATCACGCCCTCAAACAGGGAGCACCTGAGAAAAAAATATTTAAAAAATTTCATTGGTTCTTTACAAGGTATTTAAATTGAACAGTGGCATGAGACCTGATATAATATATTGTGGTGAAATCAGGATGTTTTTCGGTACTAAATATCACAGTCCCTCACTGTTCAAATGTACAGGTTTTCATTCACAACAACTATCACAATATATATATATATCAATCGTTATACAGTAAATGAGCTAAGATAAATGTTGCTGTGTTCATATATTGACAAACTTTTTATTTATACATGTATATTCCCAAAGACCCTCACATAATGTCTTAAAAAACAAGTCATTGTCAATGACACGTCCCCGTTCCGTTCATATTTGAGTGACATATACATTCAAAGCAGATCATGACCGAAATGCACCTGCATATGTACAACACATTGTGCTAAATCTGAACAAAATCCATCCATGCATGACTGAGATCCGGTTCTGGAATTGTGAAAATACGTGATTTTGATGCATTTTCGGCCTTAAAATGGCCATCATTCCGCTATTGTTAAGCAGATCATGAAACAAATGCACATATCTATTTGTGACATGATGTACCATGTGTGTGTGAAGTTTGAACTTGATCAATCCAGACATGTCTTGGATACGGATCCAGAACTAAATTCTTTAACAAAATGGCCGCCAGTCGGCCATTTCGAACTTGATCCGAAAAAAAAAAGACGTGCATCAAGGTCCTATTATGTTTCATGTATGTACCAAATTTGAACAAAATCCATCCATGCATAACTGAGATAC